GGCTGGCTGTGAAAACCAGTGCCCTGGGGTAGGTTTGCTCCCAGGGGAATGGTGTTTCTCAGCACAAACTGAACAGCACTGAAGTGGCTTTTCAGGAAATGGTGATAAAAATAGCTGTAATAGCCCTTGCAAGTGTAAGAGCAGGGCGTGCAGCATCCCCGTGAGCTGCATGGTGAAGGTGAGATGAGATGCAGGGGCTTGGGCTGTGCTCCCACCAGCACTGGGCACTTCCATTGTACAAAAGCAGGACCAGCCTGGGTGCCAACCTCCACCTAGAGCAGAGCAAAGATACCTGAAGCGCTCAGTCCTGGCCAGTGAGTCCTTCCAAGGATGTGGGGTGGCAATGGGGAGCTTGTACCACAGCCCCGCTCTCCACTGACAGCCTGGGTTTGGAGGAAGATACTCAGAAGGGTAACCAATGGCTTCAGCTACTGCAAGAACAGCTCTGAGACAGTTTAGGAAAGAATAAAAAGTATTTATTTTATCAGTGAGTTCAGCCCCTGCTGGGACAGGGACACAGTCCCTGGTGTTTTCAGGCATGTGAAAGTGTTGGCATACTGAGTTTTAGTGATCAAACTGCACCATGCTACAAGGAGCATCTCCAAACCCTATGTCACCCATTACCCAACCTGAATGAGAGCCAGAGCTCATGTGCAAAGAACACATTTTCTTTCTTCCCCATGTCCTTATCTGACACCACACATCTCAACAAGAAGAGGCTCCAGACTGGCATTGTATTGTCAACACCCTGATGCCCCAAGAAGAATACAGCAGAACAGGGAGTTGACAGGTTGCAGTAGATGAGAAATTTCTGCTAACTTCTGCCAGCCCTGGCTGGAGCTGCAGGCTTTGGTAGGTGATGGACAGAAGGGAGGTGAAGAGCCCTGAGCTCGTGCATGACCCACTTCCTCACTGCCTGTTGCCCAGCTTTGGGCTATTTCTCATGATGCAAACTGCTCCTAGTTTTGCAAAGTCCACTGAGGACTAATGGAAGGCAGATGGCTTCCATCTCAGTCTCCATCCCCTGAAACAGGCTGTTCCTTCTTCCCAAAACGATGAGCTCCAAAAAGGATCCTTACACTCAACACACCTTAATCTGTGGCTTGGAAAAGCAATAGGACTTATGATTGTATTCTAGCAGCTGGCCAGGATGAAAATTGTAGGTTCCCCCCCCGCTTATGACATTAAGAGTCACTGAATAAGACCCTAAACTTGTGCACAGCTCCAGGCATGCACTCCCTAAGGAGCAGGGATGCTCCTCCTCAGTCGTACTGCAGCAGAGAGTAGAAAGGGATGGACTTGAGCTTTTCCGACCCTTTGAGGAGTTTTAACTCTATGACCACCAGACACTCCAGCACTTCAGCCTTCAGCCTCTTCACCAGCTCGCAGGCTGCGTACATGGTACCTGCACAGCACAGAGGTGAGAGCAGAAACATCATCACTTGTGGAGCAATGCCAAAGCAGGCTTCAAGCCCCACAGCTGCCCGCTCCCAACCCAGGTGCACGTGGGTCACATATGCTCTGTAACTCACCTCCAGTCGCAAGCAGGTCATCTACAATAACAACTTTCTGTCCTGCTTCCACGGCATCGCTCTGGATCTCGAGTTCAGCCTGCAGGGTGGAAAGAGTAGCTTCATTTTAGTCTTGCCTGACAGAGAAACACTTCACAAACTCCTAACACATGGTGGAATGCAGACACGTCTTCAGCAACATCAGCCTTAACACTCAGCACCTAAAACCCCAAAAAACACATACCAGCGACAGGGGAGTGCCACGGAAATATATAGCAGGTTAGGTGATTGCTGGGCCAACCCTCTGGCACGTCAAGAGCCTGAACATTCATCAAGTGAGTTATGGTCCCATCAGGAAACTTTATCCCAGAGCAGTTCTCCAGTGGGGAAAATCTCCTGTAATGCACTGGGCTGGAGCACTCTGCTTTGACAACACCACCAAGCCGGATCCAAACCGTCACAGGCACGTCCTGTGTCAGATGAAGTTGTCCCATGCAGGGGTTGGCCCAACCAATCCTCATAAATAACGCCTGGGTTTGGTGTTTCTGCTGCTGGTCCCTGGCTGCTGTTAGTTACCAGCGGTAGCGTGTTACTGGGATTAAACCTCTGCTCCTGAACCAGGGAGGCTGCGGTGTTACGAGGCGAGCACTCAGTTTAGAAGCCATGCAATAAAGGCATTTACTTAGAGCACTTACTGGAAGAGTGGGAAACACATTCCACGTTCATGCCCCTGAATTCAAGTCAAAGACAGTAATTTAGCACCACGTCTTAGCACAAACCACCCCCCAAAAATCACAGCAGGGCTCACAGACACAAACCTCATGTCCATGGCTTGGGGAAGGAGCTGCCATGCTGGGGCTCAGGGAAGCTCAGTGCTGCTCCTGAGGCTTATGCCATGCCCGTAGCACCAGCACTGGCTGTGAAACTCAGCCTGGGGATCCCCTGCTGGGTTTATCACCCCATCCCCTCACTGACACCCCCCAGCCCTGCACCAACCAGCCTCTCCTCCCTGGGTATTACCTTGCCATACTCAAGGACGTAGGAGATGGACTCGGTTGGACCGGGAAGCTTCCCCTTTTTCCTTATCAGCACGAAGCCAACCCCCAGTCTCTGAGCCAGAGGCGGGCCTATGAGGAAGCCACGGGAGTCCAGACCTATGGTGAGCAGAGCAGCATGAATAACCAGACCAGAGCCACTGAACTGGGGGTGTCTTTGCCTGATAGCCCAGGTTTATCCTCCCATTTACAGGGAGGGTCTCAACAAGCCATTTGCTCTTAGTCATCTACTTCTGTGGTTGAAAACACACAGCATGGTCCTGCACAGCCTGTGTCCACCAAGATGTGCTGCTGATGGGCTTCAGGGCACCAAAGCGATCCCCCCCATCAGCCTCTTTCACCTCTCTTCTAGCTCTTCTTGGAGATAAGCTCAGAGAAGCCCCATTATCAGTTCAGCCACACAACCAGTGACTTTGCACTGCAGGGAGACAGGCTTTACTTATCATTAGGCACTTGGACAAGGTTTGGTCTAGACTCCTTGAACTTTGGGCTATCGCCCAGCCCAAGCCCTGCCTTCCCAAGCATTTTCATTCTCGGCTGCTTTCATAGGTGTGCTGCAACGTGTTATCGCCACAGAGGCTGTTTTTGTTGGCTTGAAAAGGGTCCCTGAGAAGGAAAACATGCTGGAACAGGGTCTGCCTGCTGAGAGGACTGCACGAGACCTCACAGGCATGGCTGGCTTCCTGCACTTCCTCTTTCCTTTTCATGATGAAAGCAATGAGTTACGAAATTGGCACTGAAGTGTCACCAAGTGGCGTCTGCCACATCTAAAATCAGTATCTCCCTAAACTACAGTATTCGGTGAAGGGAATAACCTGGTGATTATAGTGCCTAAAGGCTCCAACATTTGCTGCCCTAGTAGCAGAGGGATCTCTGCTCACTTCCCGCCTGAGCAGCCTGAGTCCGCAGTGCTCTGTGCTGGCCTCAGAGATGTTTCTTTAACACCCACCTGCAATGAAGTCGATTTTGGGGTGAGATACCCTCAAATGATCTTCCAGAAGGTCAATCAGAGCCCTGAAAGCTGCGGGATCCTTCAGCAACGGGCTGATATCGCTGCAAAGGGAGGGAAAGCTGTTAGCTAAGTCCAGGGGCTGGGGTGGCCACCGGCCGAGCTCCTATGCCCGGGGGATGCGGGTCCTGCCTCCTTGCGCTGCCTGGAGCGGGAAGGGGAAGGATGGCCAGCGCGCCCCTCGCCCGG